AGGCCGCAGGGGGCAGCCCGTTAGAGACTGCCAGACCCCCGCTCAGCCTGTGCTCTGACTGAGCTCAGCATCAGGGAGGATTTGGCCAGGGTTCCCCGGGCACGGGAAGGGTGGGAAGAGATGACGCTAAGGGGCTGACTCACTGAGCTGGCCGCCCTGTGGGCAGCCAGGGCGTGGTCCGCACAGGCACGGTATGGAGCGCACCTCCTTCCCTCATGCCAGCCGGTAGGAGGCTGGGTTTTGCCCGCTGTCTCCCAGCGTCCATGGGCAGGGTGTGTCCGGAGTCATATTATAGACTGTGCCTGAGTTCACGCCCAGGAAGCCTCTCAACCCCAGAGAGAGCCTGCAGCAAAGAGCCACAGCCTCCCGCAGGCCCTCGAGGGGAGACGTCCACACCAGCCCTATTTGTAATGTAGTCCGAGGCAGGCAAAAGGGATGCCAGATGAAATATCCTCTGTGACAGAGGCCTGCCTTGCTGGTCCCAAGGGACACCTCTGCCTCGTCACTTTCTAACTCACAGGTGATAGCTAGTGAGCACCCTTCGGGGGGAAAGTACAAGCCAGCGAGCTGGAATGTTCCTGCCCTCCCGACAGTGTCCTGGCCCAGGAGGAAGAAGAGCTGGAGTTCAGGGTGAAAGGGTCACCAGGGACGAAGATTAAGGGTTTTGCTAGCTGCCTCTCAGGGAGGCCAGACTTGAGCCGAGGTCTGTGTTTCATGGGTACAGAGAGGGTGCGGTGCCCCCAGCGCTGACCGCATCGAACCCGGCCTCTCCTCCCCTCCCATGCCAGGCCTCCAAGGCAGATCTTTGCACTGAGGCTAAGGGAAGCAGGGGAGGCACTCTTCTCAGCGGATTCCTAGGCCTCCTGGAGCAGAAAGCCTAAAAGTCTCACCCTTTGAGACTCCAGTCTGTGGTCACAGAATCCAAGCTGTCTTCACTTACTGAGGCTGCAGGCCTCAAGGACACATCACCTGGAGCACAGCATGCTGATCACGGCTCTCCCTGGCCTCCGCATGCCCTGCTCTCACCCTCTGCTCCTGGCTGGTGGGGAGGAACAAGGACGGCATGCCTCAACCCAGTGCCTAAGGGATCTGGCAGTGTGGATGGCAGACAAGCCCCTCTGAGGCCAGGTGACCTCACTACATCACATGAGGTCTGTGGTTAGCCCCTTCCTCACCGAGAATGAGGACACCAGATTGATGCCTCCCTCCCAGTACTAAGCCATACTACCAAGTATGGGGACAGCGTATCCACACAAGGCCCATGAGCAAGCGCTATTGTCACTCCCTTATACCGCTAATGGGGGCAGTTGGCTGGACACTGCCATGGCCCCAAGTTCCTTCATGCTCCCACCCCAATGCCCACAGTGGTAGGAGCAGGGCCCACACTTTTGGTGAGGTTAACCTGCATGATTCCTTCCTGAGGGATATAAAAGTTATCATCTCCTCCTCCTCCTGGCCACAAAGGGTCAGCGTTGATAGTCGCTCACGAAGTCAGCCACTCAAGTCATGCAAGAAGATGCGCATGTGGGAAGCGGTTTTAGTTACTGCTGAAGACCGTGACGGTGATGGTGACGGTGATTATGGTGGTGACGATGGTGGTGATGGTGACTGGGAGGTTTGCCACACCTTCACTAAACTTAAAGCTGATGTAAAACTAACACACAATCAAGTTTTCCAACACTAAAGGGAAGATAAGGAGGAGGCGGAGGAGAACTAATCACACTCACTAATTCACTTTTTTTATTTTTTACCAGCTAGTGGTTATCAAGCCTTTTCTCCATGCCTGGCTTCTGTAAAACTGCAGGGCCTCCTAGCAGCCTCCCTGGACTCACTGGTCTGGGGTGAGCACTGGTGTGCAGCAGCGAGTGAGTGAGTGAGTGCATTTAATAACCCAGGTCACAGCAGGGGGGAGATTTGAGAAAGGGCCTCATCCAATGTTGTGTTATGTGCATGTATGTATGTGGGCACATGTGTGTGCATATGTGTGCACGTGTATGTATGTGCACATGTGCATGTGTGCATGTGGGTGCATGTGTGTGCGTATGAGTGGGCGTATGCTTCCATGTGGTACTTATTAACAAGGAACAAAGAGCTCACCCCTGGGCCGCAGCCTCTCCCAGCACGCCAGCTGAGGAGGCCAGAGCCCTAGAAAGAAGACACAGAAATGCCCAGGTGCCACTTTGCTGTGGCAACAGCAGGTTCATTGGTGAGTGACTGGCAAACGCACCAGGACCAGCTCTGTCCCCACCTGGGTCACTGCCACCCACAACAGCACCGCCCTGCCTCCATCTGCAGAGCAGACCCAAGTGCCCTGCCCTCCTCTCAAGCCTATGACAACCAAGAGCAAATTTCTCAGATTAAATGCTTCACCATTTTGAAAACTTGGTTTATTTTGCCAATGTCTCCTCCCAAAAGGTTTAATTCATTTTCTTCGTAAGAGAGCTGATGCTGTTTCTCTATTTTCTCATTAACAACAGGCATCCTTATTTTTTAAATGTATATTTGCTAAGTGAGTGAATAAAAAGATTGTATTCCACTGATCAAAGTCTTTTCAAGCCCATGTGCAGCATCGATTGTGCACAGTAGCCACCTTCTTGGCTCTTGTGCTGAATATTATGTCACTTAAATTCACCCCAGTCCTTTGAGACTGGTAGAATATCTGCTTGGAATACAGGCAGAAACTGAGGCTTGGATAAAGTTAAGGAATATGCCAAACTCTGCCTCACTTCCGCTGGGTGCCCTGAGAAGAATTCCTAACCTCTCTGAGCTCAAGAATACTAACCAAGCCTCAGAACGTAATCGTACTTCGCTCCCAAGCCCAGAGCCCACCCGCCCGCACAACCAGAATCTGTGCTTCTAAGTGGGAGAGCGAACCGGAAGTGGGCCATACATAATACTAGATCCTCAACAAGGCGGGGTACGGGCTGGACAGGGGAGAGCCGTCATGCACACCTGCCGGGTAACCAACGGAACGCAGACGAGGTGGGCACACAGACGAGGTGGGCACAGACCGTTACATCTCAGTCTTGGGACAGTTTCTGCCGCTGGATGTTTGTGTACATGGGTCCTCTGTCCGGAAATGTTTTTCTTCCCCAAATTTTACATGGATACTCTCTTACTAAAGTGCAATTCAGAAGCCAACACACTGATAAAACTAGGTGACCCTGAGGGAGGGCACGTCTGTGATCCCCCAACACTCAGGAGCCTGGGGCAGGAGGATGGCAAGTTTGAGGCCGGCCTGAACAACCCAGCAAGATCCTGTCTCAAATTGAAAATACCAGGGGAGGTAGCTCAGTTGGGTCCAATCCCCAGTACTCCAAAACAAGGACAACAAAACCCACCTATGTGAATACTAGGATAGTATATCTTTAATTCTACCAAATCACGAAAAGATTCATAGTACCACTTGTCTGGAACCCAAACCTATGGATTGGCTGAGTTCTTTTTCTGATTTAGGAAACTTACTGTGAAAATATTTCAATGATCTTTGAGCAGTGGCAACTGTTTGAGTGGTAGAAGGGAGGGGTCAACTCAGTATACATTAGGCATCCCTAATCCAAAAATCTGAACTCCACAACGTCCCAGAACCTAACCCTTCCAAGTGCCTGTGTGACATCACACCAAGAAAATGTGACACATGACCTCATGCATCCGCTCGCAGTCAAAAGGCCGTGCGCTAAGAACGCTGTATTCAATATCCTCTGGATGGTAACCATGTAGGTTACATAAAACATAAATGAATTTTATACTCAGAACTGGATGTCATCCCCCAAATATATATGCAAATATCTGAAACCAAAATTACAAGATCTGAAAACCGCCTGGCCCCATATGTTTCAGATGAGAGATGACACTCAGCCTGCATTTATGTGTGGCTCTTCAGAAAGAGACCCACAGTGTGTGACAGTTAGTAAAGTTAATTGGGGAGGTATTTTTTTTCCAAAGCAAACTTTTACAAATCAAACTCATCCCAAGAGATATCTGTTTAACATGCAGTCTAAACGTATTCAAGGCAACGTTGTTGACTCAGCCCCTGGAGGGCCAGCAAGCCATTGACCTAGTTTCTCCAATGTGCTGGCAATCTCTGGGGTCTTCTTCATAATTAATTCACACTTCTCGGGAGCGCTCTGCCTGGGGAGGTTCTGGGGGACCTGATGAAATGAATAATTTGTCACCAATGATCCGACTGCTGCTGTTTCAAGAGAAGGCTTGAGGGATGCGGGCACCCGAGTTACAAAAACTCGCAAGAAAAACAGCAGCGCTCATTTGTTCAGACTGGCTTCCTGCTCTACGGCTTGTGTGTTCCACGTGGAACAAATTCCCCAATCTGAACTCTGTAGGGTAAAAAAACAAAAATACCAGTCCATGCGTCCCCCATAAAGTCGTTTGCCTCAGGATTCCCAAAACACCCAATTCTGACCACCGATTTGGACACAGACAGACTCCTAGAAAACCAAGGTGTTGTCGGTAGGTAGGCCAGTACCAGGGTTGGGTCCAGTGGGGTTCCTAGTGATGGTTCTGTTGCCATCATAATACAAATTTAATAAAGCAAGTTACTCATCCCGGGGCTATACCTACTGGGTAAATACATTCAGCTTTGTCATGTTCATGGACAATGAGGGCAAAATGCCACTGGAAAAAGCGCAGGGATCCGCGGCTCACGTTGAGGCCAATCTGCCTCACAGTCCCTCTCTGCAATCAGCAACAGTACAGAATGAAAAGAATGGGTGTTTGCATCTCTGGTACTGTTTTAAGCACATAGTATTTATTAGGCATTAAATGGCACACACATATAAGGACCGAGTACGTAATTCTCACCCTCCCCCCCAGCAACATAAAAAGACAAAATCACATAAGGACACTCGCTACATCCACCCACACACTCTCTCTTACATGGACAGACTCAGCCTCACATATTACCCTGTTTATTTTTTTTTTCTTTAGTTTGGGTCAGTTAAACACTTTTTTTAAATCAAGAAAGCAAAGCACATTCAAAGAAGAAAGGAGAAACACAAACTTGGATTCGAGTATCAATAAAATTAAAAGCTGTTGGTCAATTCCCATGCTGGGCTTACAGGTTATTACTTAATTTGAATTCCCATTTATAAATAAATAGTACAAGTAAATTATTACATCTGAGGAGCCCTACCATAAGGTGTTACTTACACACTTCTTCCTAACACTGTTTTCTGCTCTCAGTACACACAACGTTGTGTTGGCATTGGAGAGATTGCCCTGGAGAGAAGACTGCAGCGAGTGCATCTTGTGTCTTGAGGAGTCGCAGGTTGTCCTTTGTATCCCTGGTGGATCACTGGTGATGGAATCTTGGAAGCTCGGGGCCGGCTTTTGTTTGTTATCGAGAAGAATATTGCTTTTGGCATTTTGTCACAATTCTTGTCAGCACACAGCTTGTACCCTGCTTATCACGGTCAGTCCTGCCCACATGTAAACCAGGGCTTTTTAAGTTTTTCAAAGCAAGATTTCCGGACAGGAAGCTATAGGCCACGATGTAGTGACAGACGGCTGGAGCGACCCGAAGCTGGGAAGCCAGGGGGAGATAGGACGTCGGATGGAGCCCAGCCTTATCCTAACTCCATCCATAAACAGAGGCCGAAAGTGAGCATCAGGATCACAGGCGGCAGCACAAAATCACAAAGCCAGTTGGGGAGTGGGAACCCCTTTCCTAAACATCCCGTGGCAGAGGTAGGTGCTTTTCTTAGGCAGAGGAGGGTGGTGAATGACAGTTTTAGGGCTGGTGGGTGTGGAAGAAAGCCCACAAGTCCATAGTTTGAACTATACTTGCCTCTGATCTCCCTCTAATAAGGGACTGGGTCCCATTAAGGAAATTAGAAGAAAAAAATATATTATTATTTATTATATAACAAAGTTGACATTAACATCAAGACAGAGAAAGACTCCCCTGTGCATCATGATAAAGCACTCAACGAGGCCAGGTATTCTGGAACCCAAAGGAAAGAATCTGGAAAGACATCCCGGAGAGCCTGAACAGGACTGGTCCATGAAGGGGCACTGGGGGTGTGTCGCGTCTTTTGTTTTTGTTTTAGGTCTTGAGACGAAACAACAGAGTCACATCTTTTTGAATGGTGGTCACAAGCTACCCATGGCATCAGTGTCCAGTGGCCTCTAGTGTAGATGCGAACACGGGGGGAAATGAAGCCTCTGTCTGTGGGGTTGACTTTGCTATTTATTGTCTCTCTCTTTCTCTCTCCCTGGCAAATGTCTGTTTTGAGGCCAGCCTACCTTTAGCTGTTCTCGCTCCACTCAGGCACCATGCCAACTCCATGCACAGAGTGGTACTGGTGTGGGGACAGGGTCCTGGGCACGCCATGAGAGTAGAGGAACTCGGGGGGCTGCAGGCTGCCGGGGGACTGGAGGCCAGTCTGAGGCCCACACTGCCTGACCACAGGCTGGTGGGCCACGGAGGTCTGGTGCTGGAACATTCCTTCTCCCAGCTGTGGGGAGCTGTGGTTGGCCATGCCAGCCAGCCGTGGGACCAAGGGCCCTGAGGTGAAATGAGCAGAGAAGTGCTGGTAGGGCAGCCTATCCATAGGCTGCACCGTGGTGACCGTGCAGCTGCTGTAGGAGGGCACGCCAGGCCACGTGTTGCAGCTGATGTCCTCCAGGCTGGGCACAGGCTCGCTGGGTGGCGCAGAGCTAGCATACATGCAGGCCTGCCGCTGAGCTGACTCTGTCCGATAGGAAGCACTCAGGCCCTGCTGCTGGGGGTAGCTGGGGCGGTAGAAGGAGTCCTCTTCGCTGGGGGATGTCTCCATATAGGGCTTCTTGTAGGGGTGGTCTGTGGTGGAACATTCCTCATCTAAGATAGGAGGAGAGACACCCGTGAGACCAGAACCAGCCATCAGACAGCCAAGAGCAGAGACAGGCATTTGGCCACAGGAGCGGAGTCTAATAGCTCCAGCCTCCAATCTGATTCAAAGGACTGGACTATCACAGTCAAGTCCTCAGACTCTGGATGCAACAGGTACTTACAGCCTTCCTGTAAAGGGCAGTGTTGAGAAGTAAGTGGGAATGATGTACTAAGCCCTTGGTCCAGAGCCTGGCACAGCTACAGCTCAATAAATAGCACTTAGTGTTGCTACCATCTTTCCTTTTCACCCACATGTAAATTCCATGCAGCTGGGACATTGTCCATTTTATATAACTATATTCTCAGGCCCTGATACCTCACACCCACATAGTCATTGTAAAAATCATTTCAGCTATAACAGTAAAATCAAGTACATAGAGTACTAACTCTGCCTGACACTGTTCTAAGCACTATGTAGAAAGGGACCCATCTGAGCTTCACAAGAACCCTTAAGAGGTTATTCTTATTTAACAGATGGTAGAAAAGAAACACTGAGGTTAAGAAAGACTTAGCCAGTCTTGTATGGCCTACAAATGGTGGAGCCAAGTCTAGACTCAAGTAACCAGACTAAAAAGACCCTGCTGTTTGCTGTCATGCTGCATGGAAGAAGTACACAATAGTATGTGTGCAGTGTGTGGATGGGCAGATGGATGGATGGATGGATGGATGGATGGATGGATGGATGGATGGATGGGCAGATGGATGGATGGATGGATGGGTGGGTGGATGGATGGATGGAAGGAAGGAAGGATGGATGGATGGATGGATGGATGGATGGATGGATGGATGGATGGGGAGAAGGATGGATGTATAGCAGATGGGTCGATGGGTGGATCATGGATGGATGGGCAGATGGATGGATAGGATGGATGGATGGATGGATGGATGGATGGATGGATGGATGGGAAAATGGATGGATGGACAGATGGGTGGATGGATCGATGGATGGATGGATGGATGGATGGATGGATGGATGGATGGACAGATGGAGGGACGGATGGACGGACGGACGGACAGACGGATGGATGGACGGACGGATGGATGGATGGATGGGAAGATGGATGAATGGATGGATGGATGGATGGATGGATGGATGGATGGATGGATGGGCAGATGGATGGATAGATGGATGGATGGATGGATGGATGGATGGATGGATGGGGAAATGGATTGATGGATAAATGGGTGGATGGATAAATGGGCAAATGGAAAAGGGATG